ATAGAATATTTTAACAGCAAATTCGAGATGAAGACTCAGTGCATTTGAAATAAAACAACAGAAATTACTCAATCTGAAAAACACGAAAAAATGCACAGGGCTACGAGATGTGTAAGAGAATATCAAATGTATCAGTGCACATGTGATGGGAGTCCCAGACGGAAAGGAGAGAGGGGAAGGGGCAGCGAAGCTATTGGAAGAAATAACAGCTGAAAATGCTGTGTGACGAGAAACACTGATAGGCACTGAAGAAGCTCAGTGGAGCCTGCGGACGAACGTGCAAAGAGATCCGTACGTAGACACGTTGTGGGCAAATTACTGAAAGACAGAAACAAAGAGGGAGGTTTCGCAAGCAGTGAAAGAGAACAGTTTGGATACAAGGGAACATTAATGTGTGACTTCTCATTAAAAACAATGGAAGACAGTTGATTACATTTCTTGTGATGATCAGTTGAGAATATATACAGATATCAAATCATTATTGTCGTACTCCTGAAACTAATACAATGTTGTGTGTAAATTACATCTCAATAAAAAAAGAAAAAAGAGAGAAATGACATATTCAGAGTGCTGAAAGGAAGTCACTTTCAGTTCTTCCCAAACAAAAATAAAAAAAGAAATTCCCTGCCTTACAAGAAATAATACAGGAAGTCCTTCAGGCTAACAGGAAAAGATACCTCGAATCTCTAGGAGGAAACAAAGAGTCCTAGAATGGTAAATAAGAGTTAATACAAAAGATTCAATATATTTTTTTCTCATTTCTCTTCTAAACTTCTTATAAAAGACACATGATTATATGAAGCAGTAATTATAACACTGTGCTGTTGGGTTTATAATGCATATGGATGCAACATATATTGAGGTCTGTCCAGAAAAGGTCCAGCCACTGTTAATACGACGAGAACAGTCTCCACTGACATCGATGTACTTTGGCTGCCAAGAGGAGTGGCTGGAATGCACATGCATGAGCAGTGATGACTTGCCCGTACTAGGGGGCTGTTGAGTGAGCATGTGAACTGTGTGGTCATCACATTCGAAATGACTGAGCGAGTAGAGCAACAAATCTGCATCACATTTTGTGTTAGACTTGAACATTCCTCCATGGAAACTATTTGGACCATTCAGAAGGCTGCAGCTATAGGCAACTGGTGATTGGCAGCTTCGTCATGACAATACACCTGCTCATGCATCACATGTCTTGTACAGAGTTTTTTGGCAAAATATCAAATCACCTAGGTGACTCGGTCTCTCTCCAGACTAGATTGGCGCCCTACAACTTCTGGTTTTTCCTAAAACTAAAATTGCCTTTGAAAGGGAAGTGATTTCAGATCATCAGTGAGATTCAGGAAAATATGACGGGGCAACTGATGGCAACTGAGAGAACCGTGTGAGGTCCCAAGGTGCCTACTCTGAAGGGGACTGAGGCGTCACTGTCATATGTACAGTGTTTCTTATTTCTTGTATCTTTTTCAATAGGTGTGTGTATTTTTCATATTACATGGCTAGATACCTTCTGGACAGACCTTGCAGAACAATAATAGACAAAAGAAGGTAGAAGGAATGTAGGTATAGTGGAGCAAAGTTTCTACATTTTACAAGAATTAAGTTAGTATTAATCTGAAGTAGATTATGATAAACTAAAAGGTATATTGTAATTTTTAAGGTAACCACCAAATAAATAAAATTAATAGAGGAATGAATAATAGAGTAAAACGTATTTGGCGCCTAGAAAGCGGAAAGGGAGGAACAAAAAAGACAATAGATGTAGATGACAAGGAGCAAAATGGCAAATACGAACCCACAATATCAATAATTACGTTCAGTGTGAAAGTCTAAATGTGCCAAACAAAAGGCAGAGATTGTTGACCTGGATAAAAAAAGTAAGATCCAAATATCTTCCGGGTACAAGAGATAAAGTTTAAGTTCAAAGACGGATAGGTTGAAAGGAGAAGGGTGGGAAAAGAAAGCCGCGCAAACAGCAGCCATGCAAGAGTGGGAGTGGCTGTATTATATGTCAGACAAAAGAGATGTCAAGATAAGAGACTGCCTAGAGACTAAGACAGGTGTTTCTTAGTGACAAAAGGGTCAATACATAGAAAGATACAATTATAGATAATGTTGTTCTAATAACAGCTGTAAAACATATGAGCAAGGTCTGACTGAAGGCAAAAATGGGCAGTCCAATAATCATAAATGGGGGCTTCACTACTCCATCCTGATGATCGATAGAAGATGAGCAAGGGTATAGGGAAGACTCGGACAACATTATCAAACAGCTCTGACTGACATGTGTAGAGAACTCTCTACCCACTGTTTTCTGAATACATTTTTGTCACATACATGTGGAACATTCTCCAAGACAGAGTATATAATATGCCATAAAATAAGTTTCATCATTTAAAAGGACTGAAATAATACAACCCACTCTGACCATAGCAATTTAATTCGAAATCACCGACAGAAAGAGATCTGGTAAATGCACAAATATTTGGAAATTAAATAGCACACTTCTAAATAACATATGAGTCAAAGAAAAAAAAATCCCAAGAGAAGCTAGAAAATGTTTTTAATGAACTAAAAACAAATACAAATGCACAATATATCAGAATTTATAGGATGCAACTAAATCAGTTTTTGAGGAAAATTTCTAGCTTTAAAAGACCTATATCAAAAAAGAAGGCCTCAAATAAAAATCTCACTTTGTACCTTAAGGAACTAGAGAACGAAACTATAAAAAGCAAAGTAAACCTAAGCAGGCAGAAGAAAGGAAGCAGGCATCAGTGAAATAAAAAAAAGAAAAATCAAGATATTTACAAGTTGGTTCTTTGAAAAGATCAGCAAAATTGGGAAACCTTTAGCTGATTCCAAAATGTACAAGAATAGGCGAGGGACCTAGAATGTCCATCATCATCTTAAAGAGAACAGAGTTGGAAGACTCACACTACCTGATTTCCACAGTCAGTGTAAAGCCACTGGTACTTAATTAGTGTTATTAGAGCAAAGAAAAGTGTATAGATCAATGGAATGAAATTCAGGGTTCATAAATAAACCCCTACATTATTGTCCATTGATTTTCAATAAAGATGCCAAGATAACTTGATGGTGAAAAAGTCTTGTCATCAAATGGTACTTGGAAAAATCAAATATTCACCTGTAAAACCGAAATGAACTAAGATCCTTACTTCATATCATATGTACAATTAACCCAAAATAGCTCATAGACCTATGGGAGCTAAAACTATAAAAATTGCAAAAGAAACAGGAGAAAAATCTTCATGACCTTGGATTAGGAAAAGAGTTATTAGACATAATAACCAAAAAGAAAAATTGATAAGGTGGGCTTCATTAAAATTAGAACTTTAATACTTGAAGACGTTGGTGAGAAAACAAAAAGACAAGCCACAGACTGGGAGGAAATATTTGAAATCATATAACTGATAATGAACTCCTGTTCAGAATGTGTAAGAGAACTCTTATAACTCAGTAAGCAGCCAACTCCATATAAAAATGGGCAAAGACTTAACAGTGAAGCTGTATGAAATGCTTGGGGTATGAAAAGACGCTTCTATCCCTAGTCACTAGGGGATACCAGTTAAAACCATAAAATCCCACTGATACTCCCTAGCAAGGCTATGGTAAAAAAAAAGTACACGGTGTGAAGTATTGGAAGGGATGTAGAGAAACTGGGACCCTCAGATATTGCTGGTGGCAGTATAAAATGGTATGGCTACTTCAGAAAAGTTTGGTTGTTTCTTGCAAAGCTAAACCTGAACTTACCACATGACTCAGCGATTCCACTCCTATCAGTGTTCATAAGAGAAAGGAAAACACGTGTCCACACGAAGACATGTGTGCAAAGGTAAACAGCAGTTGTGTTCATTACAGCCTCAACCTGAAAAGTGCACATGTCCATTAACTCATGAATAGATGAAAGAAATGGGTTATAGTCAAACAGGGGAGCGCAGTCAGAGATGAAAAGGAATGGGTTGTTGATACCTGCTGCAGTATATGGGGGACTCTCAAAAACATGCAAAGGGAAAGAGAGCTGCAGAAGATGGGCTACTTTGTGACTGCATTACATGAAATACCCAGAAAGGGCACGTGTACAGAGACAGAGAGCAGAGCAGTGGTTGCCTGGAGGCGGGGACGGCCGAGGACTGACTGTATGCGGCACGAGGAGATGTTTCGGGCGATCGAAATGCTTGTTGTAAAACAGGGCAGCAGTGATGCTTGCGCAGCCCTTCGCCTTACTAATGGTCATTGACTTGCACACTGACGGCAGGTGGATTTCATGCTGCGTAAATTATTCCTCAGTGAAGCTGTTGAAACAAAAATTTGAGGATGCGCGAATGTCTCAAGACACATTCCCCCAGCGTGCCGTGGTCCACAGTGCTTGTGTATGAGTACTTCTGATTCCCACACTCGACAGTTCTGTTCCACACGCTAGCACTGACTCGTTTTATGCATGAATTATAACAGTGAAGAAGTCAACATGGGTTTACTCATTGGGTCGAGTTGTTCCATGTGAGTCAGCTATGCCAAAGGGAACAATTTTGGAATACGATCGACTAATTCTGACTTCGGGTAAAGTTTTGTCTCAGTGCACCTGTAATTCACTAGGGGTTGAAAGACTTACTGTGCCTCCCAGACTTTCTTTCTAACCGTGAAAGGAGTAACTGCACCTCTCAGAATTCGGTGCAATATCAAATTAATGTCACACCATACTTTTGAAATAGGGAATTCATAGGTATAACTGCATGAGGATGAGAGAAACGAACTACTCAAGGTCATGTTTCCAATCAGTCGAAGAGCCATAAACTTGGATACCCCCACCGCCCCTCAGCTAGAGGGATGCTGGACATAGCTTCCTTTCAAGAAAATACAGTCAGTTGGCTGTGTAGTCTGTCTGTCATTGGGGTTGAAGTCTTTCCTTCCATATTTTTCGTTTTCCTTTTATTTGCTCATTGGATTCCTGTTAGTCACTAAATCCTCTTTTTTAGCTCTTGCAGTTCAACCCCGTGGAGCGTCTTGGTGCTGGAGTTGCTGGGGTGGAAGATATCAAATCTCATCCATTTTTCACCCCCGTGGACTGGGCCGAGCTGATGAGATGAACGTAACACAGGGTCATCTGCACACATTCTGGTCTTCTCTGGACAGGCGTCCCCGGCACAGAGGCAGCTCTGCCTCCCGGTCACCTGCACAGCCCCAGAGCCCTGGGATAAGGGCAATCAAAAGGCTGAAAGAGAACAATTCAGAGAACAATTCCTTTGCAGTTACTCTCTGGACAAGACGTTGGCCGCACGTGCCAGGAGCTGTCTGAACAAACTTTGACCAAGGTGTGGTTATCTCTACTTTATGCACCTTCCGAGTGGCGCATGCGTTGTAATCCCAGCTGAAAAGAGTGCCCACTGAGCACGTCCTCCGGTGCAGAACTCCAAGTGTGCAGTGAAGGGTTACTTGAAAGGAGGACCTTTACGAGGCAGCTAACCATGCTTTCTGCTAAACAGGATTGTTTTACATGATCAAATTAATATTTATTGAATAATATGTGAGAAGTGCTTCATAAATAATGTCATCTGTGGAGCTTAAAAAAGTGAGAAAAAAGAGAATGTACTCATCATGTCTGATAGGAACCATGTTTCACAATGCTGTGTAATTAATGTGTGTTGAATGTGGTCCCGGATTGTTTCATACTTGCAGAAGTCCACGTGCAAAGGAAACACTCTATCGTGTCAACTTCATGCTGGGCTGGTTGGTACCACTCGTGGAAGGGTTGGTGCAAACACTCGCTCTGTCTCTCTCCAGTTCTTCTTCCTGCAGCCCTGGCCTGTGCTCTCACACTCCGTTCTTCCACTAACACACATGCAACAAAGAAGGGAAGGGGGTACTCACGTCCCCAAACTGTATCGACCTAATAAGGACTAAGAAATCATGATGTAAAATAAACGTGGTAAGAATTTAAATCTCTCCTTCACTGAATTGCTTAGGACTTTTTTTTTTTAAGAAAGGTTTCTCTTTTATTTTGGAATGTCAGGAATTTCTATTTCTTATGCTTGACATCGGTTTAGTTTTTGGCTTGGTATGCTAAGAACCAAAGGATCTCATCATCTAAATGGAATCGAATGGCACTCGTATTTTATTACTTATAGTGACAGGATTTCCAGATTTGACCTCCTAATTTACTTGACATTTTGTAGAATATGGATATATACACATCTTCAAACATTTGTATTATTTCATTCAGCTGCTAAGATAGGTCCTGTGGTTATGCATTGTTTATAACAATTTACAAATGTTTTAAAAGCGTTAATGCATTTTTTTAAACTTTACTCAGAGGACAAAGAATAAATCACTATTTCCAAGTTAGGAGCTACCGGAAGTAATGGAAGCTTTCTGTATGTTTCAGTCCGTTGTGTTTTTGAGGTATGTGTGAGGCCCCCCCCCACCCCCAATTCCAAGAGCATCTGCCATCTGCCATCGGTCAGGTCCTCCCATCAAATTGAGTGGAAGCAGAAAATGCTTTAGTGAAACAAAGGAAATGTGCAAGCATTCTTCCTTTTTCTCTTATCCGTCGCCCCCTTTTCCTCTTGGGTCCCCTTGTAACCTGAACCCCAGCTGAAGGGCTGCAACAACACTGGGATGGGGAGCAGGTCAGCAGGATCAGAGCTCAGTCCAGATGACATCAGCCCCTGGAACTGGGTTTCAACCCGCCGGCCCCCTGGCCTCATAACAGGAACTCACGCAGGTGAGACACAGAGTGACTTCCTGAGCGGGACTGGTAGGAAATCTGCAGGTCCTTCGAGCCGGCCGTCACACAGCTTCCTTCCAGAAGTGCCCTGTGACATGAAAGCAGGACTCCACAGCTAAGGTGAAGCTCCCAGCCCCACCACATGGTTTCGGTCCCTGGGATTCAGGGGACAGTAGTGTCAACAGATGGTTGCTGTGTCAGTGTGTTGACACATTTCCATTGCTTCAGTTTCTCCCTTTGTGTGTTTGGTCGGAACTTGTGCTTAATGTGAATGCATTATTCACAATCATGATGGCCATTAATTGTGTTGGTGATACACAGGATGAATGGCTTTGGGTTGAGGAACCCCGGTCTGTTTTTTTATGGTGTGTATTAGAGATACTGTCATTTCCAATGCTGTGCTGAGTCTGCTTTTTTTTGCTTTTGTATTTTTTTTAGCATGTGTCATATGGGTCAAAATCACAAACGAACTTGCCATCTAGTATTTCTCATTTAAATTTTCTTTTGTGGTACAATATACCTAACGTAGAATTTATCATTTTAAAGACTTTTACGTGTCAAATTCATTGGCATTAAGTATGTTCATGCTTTTATTTAACAATCACCACTGTGCATGTCAGAACTTTTTAACCATCCCAAACTGAAATTTCGCACCGATTAAGCAGTAGCTTCCAGTACCTGCTCTCCCAGCCCCTGGTAACCGCCATTCTATTCTCTGTCTCTCAGGAATTTGACTCTTCTAGGTCTCATGTAAGTAGACTCCTAGGACACTTGTTCTTCTGAGCCTGGCTTATTTCACTCAGCATAACGTTTTCAAGGCTCATCCATGATGTAGCGCGCATCAAAACGGCATTCCTGTTCAAGGCTGAGTAGTATTCCACTGAGTGTACAGGCCTCACTTTGTTCAGCTGTGTACCTGGCAGTGGACAGATAGGTGTTTCTGCCCTTCGGCTGCTGTGCACAGCGCCACCGTGAACGCTGCTGTGCGAACACCTGGGTCCGGGCTCTCACTTGGCTTTATGTTTTCTCATGAAATTACCAATGCCTTTGACTGAGTTTATGGTGCCCTTCATAAGGGAGCTTTTTCTAGCAGGGCACCGATGACATTGTGGTGCATTGCCACCTATCTTTTGATATGAAAATCCACTGCTCCTATTTCACAGGTGGATAAGTTAAGCTCTCAGATGAAAACAGAAGGCCATTATTTTAGAGGGTTGTTTTAATGACCTGAGTTATTAAAACTATGACCTGAGTTAATAGTTTTCGAGACAGATGTTCTCAACTTATTATAATAATGAACTCTCAATGGTGTATTTAAACCCGCCTTTTAAACATTTGGAAACAGCTACAAGTCCTGTTGTGTTTGACCCTCCAGATTTTCCCACCCTGTTCTGTTTCAGAGTCATTGTGAACCAAAGTTGAGTCTTGCTTTCAGGCCATGCCTGTGCTGCAGAGTGTACAGTTCATGCACAACACTCACGCTCACTCATGCTGTGACCAGTGACACTGTGCTAGGACCCTGCTCCCAGTGTGCCCTGCTTGCAGTCGCTCGCCCATGACTTATGGATCCAAACAGAGAAATCTGCCTGTGTCACCGAAAGACTCTTCACCTCTTCGGGGGCCCCTTCCAGCATCTTCATTGGACTTGCTTAGGGGTTACTTTACAGCAAAGGCCAAGGCATAAGGTGGATCCTTTTCTCCTTAGATACAGTCGATTTAACCCTCGTTGTATCTAAATGCTCTGGGTAATGAAGCCTGATATTTCAAGCTCTTTCTTTAAGGATTGTGAAATAGAGTGGAAAGTCACAGAGTGGCGTCCTGATCCTGTCCCTGGGACTGACTAGACTTGAACCTGAATCAAATAACAGTGTTGCAGACCTCTCTGCCTTACCTTCAGAGTGAAAAGGAAGGGGAGCTCTAAGCTCTACACACTTCTGATGGACTTGCACTTTTTCGCAGTGAGCTAATTCGATCAACCAACATCGTAGACAGACAAGGTTAATGAAAATCTTCAATTGGCACTTAACTATTTTCTTGTAATTATTTCTCTAGTAATTGCACGAACTTGGGTTGCTGCCATATACCCTGCTCAGTAGCTCAACCCTTAGTGGTTATGTGGCTATAAAGATTATAAATAGAATGAAATATGAAAAGGTTATTTCTCAGGCAGCTCTGCACGGGGAAAGGAGAGTTGAAGGTCCAGATGGAAGCGCGTGGAGGTGAAAGGAGGGTGGGACACACCCCCAGTGGCTCACTTCTTAGACCCTCGTCAGTAGCCGTGGTGCTGTCTTGCCCTGTGCCCTCATCTGTCATGTGCCGTGTGTGTGTTTGACTCGGTTCTTTGGCAGCCGTCATCAGAGTACAAATTGATACTTTCTCTTCGTATTTAATGCAGAACATTAACCTCTACCAGCCTAGGTAATTTGGGCTTCTGAGTATTGGGTGTCTGCTCAGCTCATTTTAAGGATTTCGCATCAGGTCCTTCTGTGTGGAAGGGTTACTAAATGGCGAAAGCTGTGAAGTCAGCTGTTTTGCAATAAAGCTGTGAACAGAGTAGTGGTAGGGAAATGGGAAGCGGAGTGCCGTGGGTCTGGGTGACTCGGCATCGCCGACTCTCCAGGGCAGGCCAGCAATGGCGGTGGTGCACAGTCAGGTAGGACAGCTTGGTCTTTCTCGTCCCTATCACACGACTTCTTTTCTTGATTCAGGGATGTCCTTACAGGGAGAAACTGAGGCAGAGAACATCTGTGGAGGTGTGACAAAGGCAGTGGATGGAAGTGACGGAGGGAGACAAAGCGGAGCACCTGTCGGGTGTGTGCGCAGGCGTCTGGTGCAAGAAAGAGCCTTCTTTGTTGAGCCATATTTAAAAAAAAAACCCTATTAAATGTGTTGGGGTGACAGCAGTTAATAAAATTACATAGACTTCAAGTGTACAGTTCTGTGGCACGTCATATTTTTATTGTGTGGTCCCCACGCCAGGCCAGATCTCCTTTCGTCACCATGTACTTGACCTCCTTTCCTCTTTGCCATCCATCCTCCTGCCAGCACCCTGCCGCTCTGGTGCCCACCACACTGTCGTCTGTGTCTGTGAGTTTTTGTTTGTCTTGTTCGCTCATTTGTTTCTTTCAGGTCTGTATCCCCCACGTGAATGAAACATGTTTCTCCACTTTTCCCACAGTGCCCTTCTTTGTTCTTCAGGAAGAGTCAGGCGGAAACCGAAACTGTTTCTTCTGTAACAGGAAATAAGACGCTCCACTGCCTTTCAGGGAAGGATTCAGTGACTCGCTTCTCCGGAGTCCGTTCTCTCTTGGCAGACACCTGCCAGAGCCGGCAGGTGTCAGGAGGGGCCCCGAGTGTCTGTGAGGGGCTGCTGTGGTTTCTTTGGGTGGAACGTGGTGAGGAAGAATGACAAGTGAACCTGCTTTTGGCCATGCTTAGAGTTGCTGGCATTCTGCGTTTGTAAATCTTAAATAAAAATTCATGTCAAAAAGCTAACTCTTCTAGGACTGTTGATCAGATTCTTCCTAAAGCTAATCCACTAGGCAGGCTTTGCCCCACCCTCCCACCCCCAGTATCAAAGGAGATTGGACAGATGTCAGGGGATTTGAGTCTGTTTCAGTGCCAAACCAGTGACCGCAATGTGATGTCGCCCTGACATACTTGACTCAGTAGCCACATACATAGAAAACAAGAAGAAAGGGTGGTGCCGTGCTGTCAAAACAGGAGAAAAATTGTTTGGTGTCTTGGGATTGTTCTGGAAGGAAAATATGTTAGCTATTTGGAGGATCTATCTTCAGCCAAAAAGTTTCTGACTAAGGAAACTTTAAAACTGAACCTTCCCACTCACCACGCCCTCCTACTGCTTTCTCACTTCTTCTTCCTCTCTTCATCTTCTCTTTGTCTACCCCCCGCCCACCTCTGTGCTTCTCTGGCTACTGAACAAAAGACATGGCGCCCGCCTTCAAGGACCTTAGGAAACCTAGGGGAGAGAAAGCATAAATAATAAGTAGGGCAGAGTGTTGTTATAAGGTCCGAATAGGGCATGGCGAGCTTACAGTGGAGAGATCTGAGGAACTGCAGGAAGGCTCCCTGTATTGGGGCAGCACCTTGAAGTTAGAGTAGTATTTTTAAACATAAGGACTTTTCTCCCCCCAAGATTATGTTTGGGGAGAAGGAAAGTATCCAGGGGAACAAAAACCAGTTGTGTACAAAGGCATGGAGGTGGGGAAATGGGAAGCTGTGTTTATTCTGTTTCAGGCTGGTTTGTAGGTAGGTACATGAATTTGAAAGGTAAATTGGGGCCAGATTAAAAGCCATACTGAGATATTGGATGTCATTCTCTAGGTTGTAGGGAGCTGGGGAAGGGTCTTAGAGAGCTGACATTATTGCATCCTGCTGTTAAAAAGGTAATTTTAGGGTTAGAATGGAGACTAAATAGGAGAGAAAGCGATAGAGGCAGAGAGAGAAGTTAGGAGTGACTACAGAAATTTAGGCATGAGATGAATCCCGAGTTAAGGCAGTGGAGTACAAAGGCGGGGTGCAGAACCATCCTCTCTTCCCTGTCTCTCAAGTGTACAGAGTAGTTTCCTTGACAAATAATTGCTTCTCCTTTTTTCCTGAAGCCAGATTACGCTCGGAGATTAGGGATTTGTTGTTTGCACAGTCAGCCCGGAGGAAGCCCCCGAGAGGCAAACCAGGAGAGCTCCTATGCCTTCTCCTCGTTGATTGAAAATATATTTACTTTTCAGAGTTTAACTTAAAACTCCTGGGTCCCAGCTCACTTCCTTTTCATCATTTTGTGACACTTCTTCCCACCTTTTGCTTTGAAATAGCCAGTTTGCTTTTGATTTGGACTGTGTTCTGCTCTTGGTCTTAGAAGGCAATACGTCCTGCCAGTTGACCGTTCTCTGTGGACCAGCTCGCTCTCTGACACCCGTTTTGCTTAGCTTGGTGGTTCTCAAAAAGCAACTCCCATCTGGGTCAAGGGAATATGGTGATTTACATTCTTCTTGCAACTTGTCTTTAAGTTTGAAATTATTCCCAAATAAAGTTTCAGGGAAGTTAAAAGAAAAGAAAGGAGAAGAAAAGCGATGCCCAGACCATTAACATGAGCATCACTTGAGAATGCGTTGGGTACGCCAGTTTTTGCACCCCATCCCAAATCTGTTAAATCAGAACTCTGGGGCCTGCGCGGCCGTGTTTCTGTAAGGGCTTCGGCTGATTCTGATGTTTGGTCGACTTTGAGAACCGCTGGCTTAGTTCAATGTCAGCTTATGGGGCTGCTCCTTGTAGGGGCAGAAGCGTCCTTCCCTGTGCTGTTTTGAGTTTGAACGTATATCCCAGCACTCGGCGGTTTTCCCAGGAGGCTGTCCCAAGACATCCTAGTGTCAAAGTGAGAGGAGAAGATAGATAATGAGGACAAGGAGAAAGGGAAGAAGCAGGGGAATAGCCAGTTGGATAAAGAGAAAATTGGAGGAGGGGCCAACGGAGGAGCACATGGATGTGTGGTTCCGTTGCCCTGGAGACTGGGCCTCTCCTGTTGTCATTCTCTAGTCAACCCACCGCTAGAACGAGCATCCGATTACAGCTGTACCTGTCTTGGTGACTTGTCTGTTGTTGGGGCTTTTTGCTCCTTAAGCAGAGCCACAGTGGAAATTGAGGGTCGAGTCCCTGCGTTGTTCAGCATCACTGATGTAAAGACTCTGAGCTCAGTCGGGAAAGATAGCAGAATGTTCTTGTTGGATTCAGCGTGTAGCAGAGCTGCTCAGTGTCCTCGTTGTAACTGAGGGGCTTAGCTGGGCATGTGCTCTGGGTAGACTTGGTTTTGCCTTTTGAAAATGGGCACCAAGCTTCTCGGGAGTAAGGCGAAATGTTCCAGATAGTCCCTGAAGTGTGCGTGTCGGGGGTAGGGGGGGGAATGATGAGGGAAATGTGGGCAACGTGCTACCTTCTTATTTTTCACTCTTGTTTACAAGGTCCCAAGATGATTAGGTAATTAATGAAATGTGTTTTGACCAAGTATATATATTTGACCTCTTCGTGAGCATTTGCAAACTTTGGGTGGTTTTGTGTTTTCACTGGGCAGGATTTTAGGCTTAGCAGTTGCTTCCTCTGTCCATTCGTTTGCTATGCCTTCTCAGCCTCAGTAGTGATGTGCCATCCTTCTTTTTAAAAATGTCATTATTGTTTAAACCACTATCGAAGAGGACAAGCTTTGCACAGTTTTTTCTAATGGTAGGCAGAGGTTCCCACTAACACCCGCACCTCCCCACACACCCCCACTGATTGTGCCCGGAGGCACACCCGTGTCGATCTAGCTGGGCAACCCAGTGTCTGCCTAGCAGAGAGAAGCCAGTTTGCCCCTGAGAGCTTCAACAGCCTCTTGGTAAATGGCCCTTGGGGCTACTGTGGAGTCCAGGACTCTTCACCATTTGTCTCTGATCCTCTTGCTCCTGTACCCTTTCTTTCAAGTGTAAGGCCCTGAGCACCTCTTGTCCGGTGTGTCGTGGGTAAAGGGCTGTTGGATGAACTTGAGATTCTGAGAAAGAACTGCTGCTTGCTTTTCATTCTGTCACCTGTTACTTCTAGCCCATAACTTCGGTTCAGCCCACCCAGCGGGGCCTGAAGCTTCCCTCGGGCTGTTTCGACCTTAGTATCAAAAGACGCTCCAAGGCACATGGCTTTGTTTTGCCTGCACCCTGTTCCCTGGGACCAAAACACCTGGTTACCCTCCCTCTATTTGAAGGGATTTCTGTGAGACTGCTGGTCTAGCTCTCACCCCACCACTTAGCTGGCCTTCCTGGCGCTGGTCAATCTTGGCACCCAGAAAGCAGAGAGCGACAGCCACCCTGATGTTGCCGCTGTCCGTCCCTCTGCTGCAGATCGGAGCTGCGTGCAGTGGTTCCCCTCCACTGTGGGCGCTCATGGCTTGAGGGAGCGGAGCGAGAGCCGTGGCTGCCTGCTGCAGCTGTCTCCTTTTGAATCACCCACCCCCACTCCCCAGGTGCCAGAACAGCTCTGGGTTGCGCCTGCTCCCCATCTCTACCTCTCCCGCCCGTCGCCGCACTGGTAGCAGCTTTCCAATGCGTCCTTTGTTGCGGGAGCTCTAAATCCATGGTAGGAAATTACCAGGAGACTCGCCTCAGTCTGCCCTCCCTCCCCTTGCCCGGTCTCTTTCTTCCCTTCCTTTGTCTCCTTCCGCAGTGAGGGTCAGAATCCCTAGCCAGACTGAGAACATGGTTGCTATTCCAGGACCCAGATGCCAATATGTGGCAGCATCTGGCTTATTGGCAAGCGTTGCCTGCTGTTGTGCTGGCTGCTTCTCGGCCTGTCATGTGGCTGAGCCTGCTAATGGGGGCCCTGTCACAAAACGGAGTTTCTTTGAGAATGTGGTTGCAACCAAGGAGGCCACCAGCAAACTGAGCTTTGTGGAGAGGACAGAATTGCTGAGCAGGGTGACCGTGGACTCCAGGGTGGATGGCGGCCCTGGGCCCGTTCTGTGAAGATCCCCGTTTTCTGTCGTCGGAGGCTGCCCCTCACGTAACCTTAGCTTCTTGTGTGTTCGTGGTACAGGTGCCTTAAGGCATGGAGCTCCTTGAAAGAAAAACACAAATCACTCAGACCCGTGGAGATGAAAATCCTGCTCCTCAGAGGGGACCGTTTGGCACGGGGAGTGCATGATAACAGCTTGCTTTAGAAAGGTGACATTTCTGCTGAAGGCTGAATAATAAAAAATGCATTTTAAAAACTCAGCTCTTCCGTGTCTTCTGATGGCTGACTTTTGGAGTGAAGGCCATTTCTTCAATGCGAAGGGTCTTTTTTGGGGTTAGCCTCTCCAGCCCCCAAACATGGGCATATTGACGCTTGTCATCTTTGATGAAGCTGAGGAGCTTTTAAAATTAATTATCACATAATAGGGCTATTTGTACTTTTTCCAAGGTGCAAAAGAATGCATGCTCAGAATGTGCAGTCAGAGAGTCTGAGGGGCAGAGAGGGATGAGGGGCACAGGGCCCCTGCCCCCGGGCACGGGCGCCCAGATGACGCATGCTCCCACCATCCCCTTCTCCACACCCTCTACTGCCGCACAGAGCAAGCGATGTGCTCTGTGCTCTAACAGTGGAGGAACTGAAATCCCAAGAAGTCGACGTGTCCCAGTTGGCATGGCACGCCGATAGGAGCTGTGACTGACCGGACACGGAGCCACGCGGTCCTGCCTCACCAAGCGGATGTGAGTTGGATTCTTAGGTGCTAAGCCCCAAGGCAGGACCTGTGTCTTTAACTTTTTGCAGCTCCACCCCTAATTCTCATCTCCACCTGTGATCCCCTTTCCACACATCTCTCCCAACACACACTCACATACACACACATATGTGTATAATAACAGGACTCTTTACACACAGGCCAGGGAAGGAAGGAATCAAGAAAGAGTATGTAGAGAAATTCGCAGGAATTAAAGGATGACGATGACCCTGGGAAGGTGGTGACGCTGATGGCAGCAGCATAGTACCCACGGAGACAGCAAACTTGGAAATTCATAGATGACATTTACAGCCAGACTAGGGGACAAGACGGCACGAATCCCCAGAGTCAAGCAGTAGGGGACAAACTACCAATAACCACAAGATTGCACAAGCCGGGCATTCTGTGGGAGAGAGAAAGAAACCACAGTGTAGTTTCTGAGCGAATCTGCAACCAGGAGCACCCCCAAAGCCCACTGCAGCACTGGAACTCAGTGGCCCAATTTGAGAACAGCCACCGAAGGGAAAGCTGTTTTGCCCACTCTGACACCAGGTAGCGCAGAGAGCTTGCAAGAAGAGGGATTAAAGCCTCTGGCCTTTTGAACTCTCAAAATTGACCTGCCAGAACCGCCTTCTAGTGCTGGACGCTACATTGAGGAGAAATTGCTGGGAATGGAATCAAAATTGAGCAAGGTAGGGACGAGAAGAAGGGCCAGTTCAAAGGAAGGAGAGAGCAGCCAGGGAAGCTCAGAACGCACCATGTCACACACACTTGTTTTTTTTTTTTTTAACACTTCACAAAAACAACAGAAGAGGGAGCTCTGTGAAGTGACAGCGTTTTCAAATTTAACCTGCTTCCTTCCCATAATTTAGTAAAACTAATTTCACATTAAAATGCACAACAGAAAAGAATCCAAATCAAGTTCCGTACACAGTTATTATAAGAAAAATAGAATTAGGAGTGGAGTGACATCCTCACAAAACATTCCAGAAAGATGTGCTCACAAAACAGATAAAAACTAATACACTGTTTCCAAATGAACTGAAAGACATTAAGAAAATTATGTAAGACATGAAAGAACAACATAAATCGTGATTAGAACACTCAGAGATGGCAACTCAGAAGAGAATTAGAAGTAAGAGAAAAAAATGAGAAATGGAGACTAGGAGGAGCGAAAGAGTGGACAAACAACAGCAGACCTTAAGAAAATTGAAGGCGAAAAGGAAATTATTTAAAAAAATATTTTATTTATTTTTTTCGAGAGGGGAAGAAAGGGAGAAAGGGAGGGAGAGAAACATCACTGTGTGAGGGAGACATCAGTCAGCTGCCTCTCCCAGGCCCCTAACCGGGGACCTGGCCTGCAACCCAGGCACCTGCCCTGACTGGGAGTTGGGCTGGTGACCTTTTGGTTTGCCCCCTGGTGCTCAGCCCACTAAGCCACACCAGCCAGGGTGGAAACATTTTTGTAAAATTTTAAATTAAGGCTTTTAGTGCTGCTGTTTCAGATTCACAGCAAAAAGGAGGGGAAGGTTCAGCAATATCCCATAACCCCCTGTCCTCACACCTGCCCAGTGCCCCCATCCCATTGATGCACCGATGCGGTGCATTTGTTACAACCAATGTACTTCCTTTGGCACATCATAATCACCCATAGTTTGTAGTTTGCATGAGGGTTCACTCTTCCTGGTGTACATTCTATGAGTTTGGGCAAATGTATGCTGACGTGTAACTGCCGTCACGGTGTGAAGAGTATTTTCACTGCCCACAGGATCCTCTGTGCTCTACTTACTCTTCCCGCCCTGCTCCCCGCACCCTGTCTGACACCTGGCAGCCACCGGACGGTTTACCATTTCCGTAGTTTTGCTTTTTGAAGAATGTCATATAGTTGGAATCATGTAGTATATAGTCTTTTCAGATTGGCATCACTCCCTTAGCGATATGCACTGAGGCTTCCTCTGTGGCTCCGTGGCTTGACAGCTCATTTCTTTTTAGCGCTGAATAATTTCCCGTTGTCTGGGGTGTACCACAGTTTACCATCTCCTGGAGGACACCGTGATTACTTCTGGGCTTTGGCCATTATGAATGAAGCTGCTCTAAATATACAGTGTGAAGGTTTTCGTGTGGACAGAGGTTTTTAACTCATTTGGGTAAGGACTAAGCATGATCGCTGGGTTGTATGGTAAGAGCGTGTTTGGTTTGGTAAGAAACTGTCCGACCGTCTTCTCAGGCGGCTGCCCCACTGCATACTCCCAGCAGCAGGGAAGGGGAGCTCCTGTCGCGTCACGTCCTGGTCAGCATCTGGTGTCATCAGTGTTCTGGGTTTTGGCCGTTCTGGCAGGTGTACGGGGTTCCTCATTGTTGTCTGAATGCACGTCTCCACGATGAAATAGGAAGACCACCTTCCCATATTTTTGTTTGCCATCTGCATGTCTCTGTGAGGAGGTGCCTGTTAAGGCCTTGAGCCCATTTTTTAAGTGGGTTATTTTTCTTACCGGTGAGTTTTAAGAGTTCCTTGTACGTACCGGATAACAGTTCCTTATCAGACACGGGCTGTTGTAAACATTTTCTCCCAGTGTGTGGCTTCTCCTTCTCTGGACACTGTCTCCTGCAGAAGAGAAGTCGTGAATTTTAATGAATTTCAGCGTATCAGTTCCTTCTTTCATGGATCATGCTTTTGGTGTTTTATCTAAAGAATCATCACCATACCCAGATTTATTCAGCTTTTTCTCCTGTGTTACCTTTTAGGAGTTCTGTAGTTTTTTATTTTATAGTCAAGTCTGTGGTCTGCTTTCAGTGGGTTTCTGTGAAAGGTCTCAGCTCTGTATCTAGACTTCTTTTCTCTCTCTTTTTTTTTTGTGTGTGGATGGCCATTTGTTCCAGTGGATTCAATGTGTTCTTCTTTTCCTAGTTTCCTGAGGTGGAAACTTAGATGACTGATTTTAGATCTTTCTTCTTTTCTAGTATATGCATTCAGTACTATAAATGAAAGCATTTTTGGTACATTTCACAAATTTTGAATATTGCGTTTTCATGTAGTTCAAAATATATTGAAATCTCTCCTTTAACTCATGCGTTATTTAGAAGTGGTTTTGTTGGTTTGTTTAATATCCGTGTATTTTGTGATTTGCCAGTTATCTTTCTGTTACTGATCTCTGGTTTAATTCTGTTGTGGTTCAAAAGTAGACATTATACGATTTCTATTCTTTGAAGTTTGCTAAGGTGTGTTTTATTGCCCAGAATACGGCGTGTCTTGGTGACTATCCCATGTGAGCTGGAGGGAAATGTGTATTCTGCTGTCGCTGGATGAGCTGGTCTGCAGGGTCCCTTATACCCGGTTGGTCGATGGTGCTTTAGGTTCGGCAGCATCGTCACCGGGTTTCTCCCTGTTGGTGCCGTCCACTTCTGACAGACGGGGTTCTGAATTCTCCAAACACGGTGGTGAATCCGTGTATTTCTTTTCACCATTCTGTTAGTTTGTTTTTGTTTTTTTGCCTCGTATAGTTGAATAATGCGCTGTTGTTAGGCACATGCACATTAAGGACTGTTATGTCTTCTTAGAGAACTGACCACTTTGTCGTTGTGATGCCTCCATCCTTGGTATTTTCCTTGCTTTGGAGTTTGCCTCGTCTGATGTGGATACAGCTTCTGTTTCTTTCTCTTTATTAGTGTTAGCTTGGTATTTTTTTCCATTCACTTAGTTTTAATCTGTATGTGTTTATGTTTAAAGTGGGCTTCTTGTAGACAACATATAGTTAGTTCTTGTTTTTTGATTGACTCTGACACTCTGTTTTTTAATTGGTTCATTTAGACCATTGATGTTCAAAGTGATTGTTGATATCAACCATACTTGCTGGTTTTTATTTGTTGCTTCTGTTCTTTGTTCCTATTTTTGTCTTTCACTCTTTTTTTTTTTTTTGCCTTTTGTGGTTTTTATTCAGCATTTTCTATAACTCGATTTTCTCTCCTTTCTTAGCATATCGGTCACACTTTTTCTAAACCTTCTGTAGTGGTTGCCCTAGAGTTTGCAATGTACATTTACAGTCAACTCAAGTCCACTTTTAGATAACACCGTAGTACTTCACAGGTAGTGAGGCATATTGTATCAAAATAATTATAATTCTTCCTTTTTGTCCCTTTCATCATTACTATCATTTATTTCACTTATATGTAACTATAATATGTAATATATCCACAAGCATACATAGTCACATACATTGTTGATGTTATCTTGAACAAAGTATTGTCTTTTTAAAAAGTTATTATTTTTAATTGTTTTATTGTGAAGTACAGGTGTATGCATTTACCCTCCCCCTCCCCCCCGTCCCAGCCATTCCCGCCTCCCTCCTCTGATTCCACCCCCCCTTGGTTTTGTCCACGTGTCCTTCCTAGTTGTTCCTGAAAACCCTCCCCCCTCCACTCCACGTTCTCCCCTCCCACCTCCCCTCTGGTTATTGTTATATTTGAGCAAAGTATTGCCTTTAGATCAATTAAGAATAAGGAAATAAAGTACCTTCACTTATTCCTTCTCTGATACCCTTTGTTACTTTATGTGTATCCGATTATCTGGCCTGTACTGTATTCTTCCTCTCCGAATAACTTTTTTTAACATTGCTTATAAGACAGATCTACTGGCAACAGAGTTCCTCCATTTTTGTTTGTCTTAGATGGTCTTTTTTTTTCTCCTCGGATGCTGATTTCTCAGGATACAAAATTCTAGGTTGGTGGTTTTATTCACTTCACACTTTAAATATTTTATTCTACTCTCTTCTTGTTTCCATGGTTTCTGAGGAGAATTCAGATGTGATTCTTATTTTCATTTCTGTATAGGAAAGATCTTATTTCTCTTAGGCCTCTCAGAATTTTCCCTTTATTAATCTTTGATTTTCTGTAGTTTTAAAATGATAATCCGTGGCTGGTGTGGCTCAGGGGTGAACTCGGGCTGCAGACCAGAGTCACTGGTTCAATTCCCAGTGAGGGCACATGCCCGGGTTGCAGGCCAGTAGGGGGCCATGTGAGAGGCAACCACACATGGATGTTTCTCTCCCTCTCTTACTCCTTCCCTCCCCCTCTGTCTAAAAATAAATAAATAAATATGTAAAAAAAATTATGACCCTAGGTGTGTGTTCCTTCTGCTTTTACCTAGATCTGTGGTTTGATGTCTGACATTAATCTGAGGAAATTCTCAGTCATTATTGTTTTAATTATTTCTTCTGTTCCTTCCTTTCTTTTCCTTGTTGTATTCTCATTACATGTGTGTATTTTTGTAGTTACCCCACAGTTCTCGGATATTCTGTTCTGCTTTCTTCAATCAAGAATTCTATTGACATATTTTCTAGTTCAGAGAATCTTTCCTTAGCTGTGTCCAGTCCACTGATAAGCCCATCAAAGGGTGTATCATGTCTGTTACAGTGTTTTTTTCTTACATGTTGTCTACTGTATTCATTAGAGCCCTCGTCATATTAACCGTATTTGTCGTAAATTCCCAATTGAGAAACTCCAGCATCCCTGCAATGTCTGCTTCTGCTGCTTGCGCTGTGTCTTCCAATTGTGTTTTTTGCCTTTTGGTATTTCTTTTTACTGGCTGTTGGTCAGTAAATAAAATCTAAGGCCGATTACATGAAAGGGGCCTCTTTGATGGTGCTCCTGTGCGGTGGACAACACGCACTAACTTCGTGAAATGACCTTGACTCTGTGTTGGTTTCAACTCATCTGTGTTGGGTGTCGTTAAAGAAGGATTTTTGTTGGCAAGCACCATTTTGTTCTTTGAGGGATTTGACTTCAGTGCAATTTATCAATCCAGTTGCAATTGAAGGATAGGGAAAGTGCTATTCTGGCTGGTATTTCTCTCACTCATTGTGGCGTATTCCCGAGATAGAACCAAGTACTTCCTGAGCTGTTGGGTGGTACTGGGGATGTTCAAGAGGGCTGGCTGGCAGCAGAGGCAGCAAATTCCGTGGCGTTATATCCCCACAGTAGTTAGCACAATGTAGGCCCTACATCCATCCAGTCTTGGCTGGGTCCTGAACTTGATTCACCCAAGATGCATTAAGTTCAGGGGGATAGACACACATTAGCAAAATTTCAAGAGATTGTGATATAAATCAGAATGTCAGTTTATGAATTTTTTCATTATTAGGAACTGCCGAATGGATGAGAACACTTGTGTGAGCTCTCTGATCGTCCCACTGGGCAAGTACCTTTGAAGCCAGAAGGTTGTGTGGTTTTTTGCAAAGGGGTGATCCTAATGGGTGGTGACGTTCTCATCACATTCCGATCCAACCGTCCTCACCCCCGGGAGACACCTGCCAGCTGGACCAAAACACTTGTGTCAACCGTGTCAACGTCATGCAATACACACACTTACCACTTCCCAGCTTATTTTTTCCCGCTCTGCTTAAAGGGAGAGCGGGACCACCTTCCAGTCGGCCAGAGCATCTGGGTCACTTCTGATGGTTAGCGGCATGACAATTGAAGCAGCCAGCTCACCTCACATGCAAGGAATTTCAAGTACAGGAACCAGATGCTCCAAACATGGGACATCTTCCGTGGACTGGGCAGAAGGAGGAATCACCAGTGGTTCCCGGTCTTACGTCACTTACATACAGCCTGGTGGGGCCAGGCTTACACATTCTTTGCCCACTTCTACTAGTTTATATGTGTAGTGTATATAGTACGACTGAATTGGAGAAGGCATCAATGTAAACTTCAGTTGGGCCTTGTCTGAGCTCTTAAAAATTTGTATTCCTGGGTCTCTGATTAAATAAGGTTTCAGTGGATTTCTTTTCTTGGGTCTTTGTATCACGGGACTGAACTCTAACTGAACCCAATCCATGCATTGCATTAGGTGGGATTGGAGCTGTTGGGTCCGACTGGACACAGCCTTTCCAGGAAAGTTCAGTTGTGCAGTTGGAGAAATTAGCGGTCAGTTCCTCTGAGGGTGGCAAAGGACTGGGAAGTAGGACTCCACCTTTCCAGTCTGCCTTTAATGCTGTAGGTCTGTGGGGCTGCATTTGGCTGGCTCTTGCTCTGTGTTTTTAATCCAGCCTAGACCACAAAACTGTTGCTGCAGCCCCAGGTTTCTGGGCTCGCCTGCCCCGAGCTCAGGTGACCGTGGTGTGCGAGTCCCTGCTGCTCCTTGGGCCTCGGCCACTGCCTCGTCTTCCCACAGGCCGGGCACCAGGGCAGGAAGCACAGCACCCACAGTTAAAAACTCCTTTCCATTCTGGAGCTCTGAACTCATCTTTAGAAGTCAAAGGAGGGCTTGCTGATGACAGTGAAAGAATTAATCTGGGGAGCTGGGTGCTCAGAAGACCTGAAGGCCTCATCCCTTAAATATATTGGACCTGAAGTGGAGACGATTTTGTGTATTTTGGTTTTAAAAGAATTTTGTAAAGGAACTTTTTTCCCCTGCAAGTGTTTGGTTTGATTGCCTGGCAGGGTGAGAAATCCCAACACAGCAGTGTGGAACTGGGGCATGAGAAGCAGCAAGTGAAACAGATTTATGAACCCCATCAATAAAAATGAAACTCATTTCATTGTCTAAATTGAGTGGAAAGGCATGATGCATCCAGTCCTGGCAAATGGAAGAGTGGGACACACATATGGGGACGTTCTTTCCGTTTTAGTAAAGCCAGATGATGGTGTGACGTAACAGGAATTTCAGGAAAAGGGACATTTCATTCCGCCAGACTTGACCAAGGAGGCCTGGTTCCATCCCTACTCTGGGGAAGAAATGCACGTTTCCACAAAGAAGCACCACCAACCATTTGTGTAAATAGTGCCTGAATGAGCATTTGCCTGTAAAGGCTGTAGCAGTGAGACAAGCAACCAACAAGACCAAGGGTGCGGCCATGTTGGGCCGGAGTTTTCCC